CCTTTAAGATACCGCACAACCCGAAGAGCAGCGTCCCAATGCAACTGACGGGGTTGCTGCATGAACTGAGATAAGATGTGCACAGCATAGGACAAGTCTGGGCGAGTCACAGCAAGATAGATCAAACGGCCCACCAAACGCCGATATTGCTCAGGATCAGAGAATAACGGACCCTCCGTGGAAGAAAGCTGATGATTCTGCTCCATAGGAAAAGCAGCCGGTTTTCCGCCAAGTAAACCAGATTCGGCAACAATGTCTAGAGTATACTTCCTCTGACACAGGAAAATGCCTGAGGAGTTCCGAGCGACTTCAATACCCAGGAAATATTTCAAAGGGCCTAAGTCCTTCATGTGAAAACAGCTGCGCAAGTACTCCTTAAATTGAGAAATAACACTGGAGTCACTGCCAGAGATAATCAAGTCATCAACGTAAACAAGAACATGCAGACGAGTAGAATCGCGATGAAGGGTAAACAAGGAGTAGTCGGAGTAAGATTGTTGAAAACCATACTGCTTAAGAGCAGTAGCAAGCTTCGCGAACCAGCAACGAGGAGCCTGCTTTAAACCATATAAGGACCGACGTAACCGACAGACATCACCAGAATTGGGAGAATTGAATCCAGGAGGAAGCTTCATGTAAACTTCTTCAGATAAATCACCGTGTAAGAATGCGTTGTGAACATCCATTTGATGAACCTCCCAATTACGAGCAGCCGCTACGGCCAGGAAAGCCCGAACTGTGACCATTTTGGCGACCGGGGCAAAAGTTTCCTGATAGTCAATGCCCTCCACTTGTCGATTACCTAGAACCACCAACCGCGCTTTATAGCGCTCAACAGTACCGTCAGAATGATACTTAATTCGAAAAACCCACTTACAGCCAATGGCGTGCTTGCCAGGAGGGAGGGAAACCACATCCCAGGTGTGATTTTTCTCAAGAGCCTGAATTTCCTGCTGCATAGCCAGACGCCAACGACTATCGGTAACCGCCTCCCGATATGACTGAGGTTCCACAGCAGAGGAAATGGCAGCTAAAAAAGACTTATGCGCAGGTGAGAATGAATCACAAGAAACATAATGTGCAATAGGATAAGGATTACCTGAGGACGGCGATGTAACAGGAGAAACAGTGGGGGGGGTCGTTGTGGCAACATGATGAGAAACGAAATCTGCGAGACGAGTGGACCGATGCTTGATCCGATGACCACGACCAAGTAACTCTGGGGAAGAGCCCCCCCTTTCGGTGGAAGTAACTGAAGATTCAGCAACCGGAGGAGACGATACAATAACATCATCATCATCCAAAATCACAGGAGACGTTACAGGAGGAGGCACTGGAGTCGGCGAGATAACAGAAGGAGTTGAAAAAGGAAATTCAGATTCACAAAATTCCACATCACGAGAAACAAAGAAAGTCTGGTGTTCCAAATCATAAACACACCACCCCTTCTGTCCGGAGGGATAACCCACAAAGATACATTTTCTACTTCTACTAGCAAACTTATCACCACCCCGAGTCTGATTGTGCACATAACACAGACATCCAAAAACACGCATGTGAGCCAAGCTAGGCGGCTTGCCGAAGAGTACCTCGTAAGGAGTTTTGCCAGAAAGAACAGAAGTAGGGGTCCGATTTATCAAATAACCAGCCGTCATAATACAGTGACCCCAAAATTCCAAAGGTAAATGGGCCTGAAAACGTAGAGCACGAGCAACATTGAGAATGTGCTGGTGCTTTCGTTCAACACGCCCATTTTGTTGAGGAGTCCCAACACACGAGGTTTCATGAATAATACCCTCCCGGTGAAAATAAGGTCGCAAACAGGTAAACTCAGTGCCATTATCACTTCGTAAAACGTTAACCAATTTATCAAACTGACGTTTAACTAGTGCAAAGAAATCCATCAAAGTAGCAGACACCATAGATTTATCCTCTAACAAGTAAATCCACGTGGCACGAGAGTAATCGTCTACAATAGTCAAAAAATAGCGAGCACCACTGAAAGAGGGCACACGGTAAGGTCCCCATAAATCACAATGTATCAAAGTAAAAAGACCATTACTAATACTGTTACTAAGAGGGAAACTAGAACGAGATTGTTTCGCCCGACAGCATACATCACAGGTTTTATTGGATACTGAAGACCGAGATTCAATAAAAGGAAACTGAGCAAGTACGGTGGAGGAAGGATGACCCATTCGTTGATGCCAAAGCTCGGAAGAGACGGACGTCACTCGGGAGACCGATGCAACCTCGAACCCTCGGAAGAAATAGAGACCCCCCACTTGTTCACCCGCTCCAATCACCGTCCTCGAAGTGAGGTCCTGAATTGCACAAAATGATTTAGTAAACGTAGCAATACAACCAGATTGATCCAATAATTGATATAATGATATCAAACTACACCGAAGGTCAGGAACAAATAAAACATCAAAAAGAGTGATGGAAGAACCGAGTTTCACAGTTCCAGTTTTACAAGCGGTGGTAAGCATGCCGTTGGGCAACTGAACAGGTCGCGGGGAAATATCTGTCATGTCAGAAAAATACTCCAAGAAACCCGTCATATGGTGCGAAGCACCACAATCAAACATCCAATCGGAAAAACGACGCTTACCGGATAAAGGAGGATTGTTGCGAGCGGAAGTTACCAAGTGAACAAGCGACTCCCATTGGGAATTAGTAAGCCCAGAAAGCGCAGCCCTGTCCGAGTCACCAAATGAAGATGCAGGCCTATTAAAAGAACCAGGCCCATGAAACGAAGAAGGCCCAAAATCCCCACCAAAAACAGCGTGGGCGCTTGGATAGCCACCCCCGCGCCCACCGGCGCGACCACCACGAACGGATCTGCCACCTCCTCGCGCCGCTGCACCCCCTCCGCGTCCGCCATTACCCCAGCCCTCAGGATATCCCACAACCTGGTAGCAAGCAGAGGCAATATGGCCTCTTTTTCCACAGTGAAAACAAGTCAGGTTGGCCACGGTTCGTCTGCCGCCTTGCGCACCGACGCCGGGAGATGTAGCGGCTGCTGCAAAAACCGAACCCGAGCCAGCAGCACCGTTACCGTTTGCAGCAGTGAGGACGCCACGGCCTGCAGCGTTTGGGACACCACCGTCTGTACCTAAGCCGCCTCCTGCAGACATCGGCGCAGCCCCGAGAACGCCGGAATCACTTTTGACCGCAAAACTGGCTACTTCAGCCGTGGTTGGTACCTGGACAGCAGTTCTCATTCGCTCCTCCCTCACCTTCATAGAGTAAACACGGTTGAGAGAGGGCAAAGGCTCAAGAGCTAATACGTGAGAACGGGTAGTACCATATAAATCGCCATCTAATCCCATCAAAAACTGATAAACTTTTTCATTCTCTTTTCTTTTATCCCATTCAACTTGCAGATTACAATCACATTTACCACAATGACATAATGGAGGCTTGTCATAATCAGCAAGTTCATCCCAAATCTTGTTAAGGCGACCAAAATAATTTTCAATACTACTCCCAGGTTGTTTACATGTAGACAAGGCAGTTTTAAGTTCCAAAATTCGTGGACCATTAACAGTGGTGAAACGATCACGAAGAGAAAGCCACAAATTATGAACAAGATCCGGTTCCGAGATGGTGGAACGTACCTTGGGGTCGATGGTGTTCATGACCCATGAAATAAGAAGGGAATTGTTCGCAAACCAGTCATCAAGGAGATCCGAGTCCGCCGATGGCCGTGGGATAGAACCATCGAGGAAGCCATATTTTTTACGAGCCCGTAACGCCGTTCTCAAGCTACGAGACCATTCATCGTAGTTGGTATCACCTCGGAGTTGAACGTGAGTGATGAGCAAACCGGGATTATCGGAAGGAGAGATGTCATAGGGGGAAATTGTACGGCGAACAACGGCCGTTGAGGCACCATCACCACCACCAGAAGATTGCTCAGAGGAGGAGGAAGTAGGAGTAGGTCCGACCATCGTTAATTTTCAATCAAGAAGAGAAAGAAAAAAAAATTGTGTCCTCTCTGATACCATGACAAAAGAGACGTGGATTTGTACTGAAACATCCAAAACTTGATGTTCAGGAGGCTAGATAGCCATATATTTATATACACTTGGATTAGGGTTTACAATGCTATCTATGGAAACAAGATCAGAGATTATTCTAATACACAATTCAAGCCACTAAATATTCCCTATAATTAAGGTATAGATATACATTCCTAACACAAATATATGAAGGCACAAGTTCAAGAAATATGATTAATATTCTTTCTAGTGTACTTAAAAATTAATGAGGTAATCATGATATTAACTGTCATGTAGCCATAAAATTAATAAGTTGAATCTTTTTTGTATAT